AAATGAATGTATTGTTTTGATTTCGGTTAGCATTTCAATCATTTACCTTCAAGTAAAAGTTTTGCAAAATCACAAAGTATCGAAAAAGATTTCGACCACGGCAGGATTCGAACCTGCAATCTTCTGCTCCGTAGGCAGACGCGTTGTCCATTGCGCCACGCGGCCAGTTGCCATGAAATATGCTGCTTTGCCCTGAAATGAATGTATTGTTTTGATTTCGATTAGCATTTCAATCATTTACCTTCAAGTAAGAGATTTGCAAAATCACAAAGTATCGAAAAAGATTTCGACCACGGCAGGATTCGAACCTGCAATCTTCTGCTCCGTAGGCAGACGCGTTGTCCATTGCGCCACGCGGCCAGTTGCCATGAAGTATGCTGCTTTGCCCTGAAATGAATGTATTGTTTTGATTTCGATTAGCATTTCAATCATTTACCTTCAAGTAAGAGTTTTGCAAAATCACAAAGTATCGAAAAAGATTTCGACCACGGCAGGATTCGAACCTGCAATCTTCTGCTCCGTAGGCAGACGCGTTGTCCATTGCGCCACGCGGCCAGTTGCCATGAAGTATGCTTTTTTGCCCTGAAATGAATGTATTGTTTTGATTTCGATTAGCATTTCAATCATTTACCTTCAAGTAAGAGTTTTGCAAAATCACAAAGTATCGAAAAAGATTTCGACCACGGCAGGATTCGAACCTGCAATCTTCTGCTCCGTAGGCAGACGCGTTGTCCATTGCGCCACGCGGCCAGTTGCCATGAAGTATGCTGTTTTGCCCTGAAATGAATGTATTGTTTTAATTTCGATTAGCTTTCAATCATTTACCTTCAAGTAAGAGTTTTGCAAAATCACAAAGTATCGAAAAAGATTTCGACCACGGCAGGATTCGAACCTGCAATCTTCTGCTCCGTAGGCAGACGCGTTGTCCATTGCGCCACGCGGCCAGTTGCCATGAAGTATGCTGCTTTGCCCTGAAATGAATGTATTGTTTTGATTTCGATTAGCATTTTAATCATTTACCTTCAAGTAAGAGTTTTGCAAAATCACAAAGTATCGAAAAAGATTTCGACCACGGCAGGATTCGAACCTGCAATCTTCTGCTCCGTAGGCAGACGCGTTGTCCATTGCGCCACGCGGCCAGTTCCCATGAATTGTGCTGCTTTGCCCTGAAATGAATGTATTGTTTTGATTTCGATTAGCATTTCAATCATTTACCTTCAAGTAAGAGTTTTGCAAAATCACAAAGTATCGAAAAAGATTTCGACCACGGCAGGATTCGAACCTGCAATCTTCTGCTCCGTAGGCAGACGCGTTGTCCATTGCGCCACGCGGCCAGTTGCCATGAAGTATGCTGCTTTGCCCTGAAATGAATGTATTGTTTTGATTTCGATTAGCATTTCAATCATTTACCTTCAAGTAAGAGTTCTGCAAAATCACAAAGTATCGAAAAAGATTTCGACCACGGCAGGATTCGAACCTGCAATCTTCTGCTCCGTAGGCAGACGCGTTGTCCATTCCGCCACGCGGCCAGTTGCCATGAAGTATGCTGCTTTGCCCTGAAATGAATGTATTGTTTTGATTTCGATTAGCATTTCAATCATTTACCTTCAAGTAAGAGTTCTGCAAAAGAATCCTGAAAGCATAAGAGCACCATTTTTGTAATTAGCATGTTTATAACCCCTGAGGGCCAAGTTTGAGCGAATTTTGAGGTTACCAAATATTGGGGCATTCAAATGAGCTGGCCATTTTCGATATGCTAACTTCTTTCAAAGGTACATTAAATAAATCTTTTTGCACTCATTACAAAGTATTACTACTTCTTTGCTCACATTACGAATCCCACTTCAACTAACTTCTAAATCTGGAATTAGGAGCAAGCCAAATCTCGTTTGTTCCATTCTTCGCTTTCAATTTCTCAGACTAGAGAAGACCAATCAGGCTCAAATCACTTCTGTGAAAGTTATGAGGATCATGCTGTCGAATATACTTGTTCTTGTCGCTTTCTCTCGCGATTCACATAGTAGCGCAGAATTAGCATACTACCGTAATCCAATATTTTCGCAGTATTTTCCATTTGCTTGGCCAAGGAAAAACAACTATATCTTTCCTTAGAAGAAACAATTTCGAACGAAATTGCCGCTATGTGGAGAAGAAGGTTTAGCAGTTGCAACCATATAAAAAAGACAGAGATTTGAACGCTTTGAAGGTAAGTTAGTGGGGTTTGGCACACCTCTAAAAAGCTGTGGCCGCCACAGCTTTTAGGAGTTCTGCCACACCCCATTAACTTGCCTCTAAAAAGCATTTTGGCGAACAAAATGCATATAATTTGATAGCCTGAGTTTTGTTGTTTTGGAATAATTTGGGCCTTATTCATCTTCTTCGCTTTGAGTTAAACCTGGTGGAAGCGCAGCCATTGGGAGCGAAAAGTGGGACAAACGAGATTTTGGCCTGCTTCTAATTCCGTAGTTTGATGGTTGTTTGAAGCAAAATTCATGGTATGGAAAAACATTGAGTCTTTGTATTGAGTACAGAAAGAATTAGCTAATTCAGGTTTGAAAATATAGTTAACCATGTTTGAAAACTTTCACTTCACTTGGGTGGTCCAATATTGGGAATATCCTCAGAATTTGCTAAAAGTTGACCCATGGTGATTCTTTGACATGATAATTACGAATATGTGCGTAATTATGCATGGTAGAGCCTTTATGTCATGCCTACGGAAGAGAAGATGGGGGGGGGGGGGGGGGGTAGAGACAGAAGATAGGTGGGGGGGGGGTGTATCCGGCGTTTGTGTGCCACACCTTTTGCTCTTGCCTGGTTATGATAGCTGTGGATCAATGTGTACACCAGAATGGAGGGCGTGCAGGAGTTCCTAGCACCTTTCCTCGCACCAACTTCGCACCAGCATTCGCACCCAGGAGGGTTCTAGCACCTCCGGGCCTCAGAGGTCAGGACCCCCCCCCCAATGCTCCTCCCAGTTACTGGTCTCATTCTGAGGATTGCAAGCAGCGAGAACGTAGATTCAGGTATTAAGGTGATAAGAGAAAAAATGGAGAAAAAACGGAACATAGTTATCATTTCTTAAGTGAGGCGGCTTGGAAACTTCTGCTATGCCATCCTTTTGAAAAAGAGCATATGAACATTACTCGAAGAAGAGAAAAATTACAGAGAATTTTTTGAATGGAAAATGTGGTCATTCGCAATATTAGAGAATCTAGTATATTACTGGTCATCTGATTGAAGTAATTTAGCATCAGAAGCTTCAGAACCCAATTCCTTATCAACAAGGGAAGGACTGATTTTGAAAGAAGTGCATCAAAGTTTCCGAACAAGCACTTAACGCTTTATCCAACAGATAGGATATCCAAACACATACTTTTTTATCGTTTGCCATTATATATTCAAAGGGTTTTTCATTCCGATTACTCTAATGTTCAGTAAGGCCCAAATTATCATAAAGAAATTTTGTATTTCCTACAATCGATCTACTAGATTACCAAACTTCATCGCATGATCGCAGTTGATTATGAGTTCCAAATACGACACTGAATTTGCAAGATATGGTAATTCGCTATATTCTTAGATGATTTCAGAACTTGCGTTTAATAAACTAACTTCTCTCTTATATATCGTGAATGGAAGACTCATAACTTCTGCTTAATTCATATTGATGCGTTATGTTTCACAAACTTAGTCAGGCGCGAGCACTTAAAAGTTTAAGGAAGCGTCAATCTATCCGAAAAAATGAGTAAAACATAACTCCAAATGCTCAATTCACCATTCTGAACCTTTCAAAACCTAGAATTTTTTTTTGTTTTTCGATTCCAGTTCTATTATCCTCATATACGATAAAGCATGTCTTACAGTGCGTGTACACAATTTAGAATGAGGGCACCTAGAGGGAAGAGTGATGGGCGGAGCCGCTCTTTGGCCCCAGAAGGTGTGATGTTCTTCAAGGGATTTCTGGAGGTGCCAAGTACCCCTGCGAGGAAAAGCGGCTAGGCTTTGGGAACTCCTGCCACGCAGCCCACCAGAATTGCTTGAGAAAAGATTGCTCATTTGAGCAAGCATTTACAAAAGCTAAAAAGTTCCCTTGTTTTAATGCAGAATCTTCACATTATTCAACAGTGTAAAATCTCCTTGTCTTCTAGTGATGCTACTGCATTATTACTCACCTAACTATTAGTTGAATATTGAGAACTGGTTGTATGCTAACAATAAATGTGGAGAGGCAGAACTGTGATTCAAGCAAATGATCTACGACAGCATCATCATTTTAACAATATTGTGGTTTATTATGCTACCCATGTTGGAGACAAAAGAGCCATTGCTTTCAGCGAGTTCAACAATGCTGAACTGGTGCTTTGATTATAGTGAACTAGCTGGCTTACCCGGCTCCGCCGTATGTTCCGAATAGAAAATTCCATTTCTTAACCGATCCGGAGCCATTGCTTTCAGCAAGTTCAACAATGCTGAACTGGTGCTTTGACTATAGTGAACTAGCTGGCTTACCCGGCTCCGCCGTATGTTCTGAATAGAAAATTCCATTTCTGAACCGATCCGGACCAAACTTGGCACACATACACTTCGGGCCCCGGCGGGTGTCATAGGCTACTTTTCGTTATCGATCGATGTCGATTTTATCGATTTTTTGCAAAATTTGAGCTAAGGGGCTGGAATTTGGCAGGGGGCTGTAATCGAGCATGCTGATCACCCCCCGTGGGGGTAATCAGCATGCTCAATTACCCCCCTGTGCCAACTCCCAGTCCTGTAGCTCAAATTTTGCAAAAAAATCGATAAAATCAATATCGATCGATGACGAAAGGTAGCCTATGACACCCGCCGGGGCCCGAAGTGTATGTGTGCCAAGTTTGGTCCGGATCGGTTCAGAAATGGAATTTTCTATTCGGACATACGTACAGAGAGACAGACATACATACAGACAGACAAACAGACATTCAGCTTTATATATAAGATACTTCTGTTTCTGGAAACTTGTCTCAACCGTCCAGTCGATGCCACGGCTTTCTGGAAACCATCCAATATTTATAAAAATCTTTTGAACATATTCAGTTGTCATTCTTACAAGAAAAATTCGTCGCTCCACATTTTGTAATCTTTAACCTTTCGGCGATCTTTGTAGTAATAAACATTGTTCTGTCCCTTTGCAAAGAAGGCTAACCACCAACCCATGGTGGAAGTTGGCGCAGACAGGAGAAACGATTTGCAAAGGCGAGATGAGATGTAAAACTCGGACATTTCCGAAAAAATGGATAGATGGGTGGTCTAAAAGCAGACTGCAATTCAGAAATATAACACAAGTACTTTTCTCACCCTCCTTCTGTCATTCAACATTATGGTATCAGCTAGATTTTGCATGAAACTCTTGTCATCACCGAAAAAGAGGAAATGTCGTAAGTTCTAAAGCTTCAGAGTTAGGACACGTCTTTCAGACAATTTTTTCATCACGATTCACACATTGCCCTTTTTCCAAATTTTGAGCTATTTTCTCAGCTACATGTTTTCAAGGGATTAAAAATCAAAAAAATTTTTCCATATAGTAGCCAAGATATTCATTTAACATGATTCGCTAGATAGATCGTGCCAGCACATTCGAGGTGCACAAACACAATTTTTCATCTTCTTATCGACAAATTTTCAGTAATTCTTAAATTCTACACGATATTAGCAATACATCTGCTAGAATAATACCAATTTCTCGGCAAAATTTGACGTGATTTCAAAGGAACTGTTGATCGAAGGTAATTGGGAGCACAGTCGGATTAGATGCCAGAATTGGAAAAGCGATAGACACAATCAGAACGGCAATAAAGGATATTCGTCAACGACTGCCCCAACTAGTGCAATTACACCACCGTGGGCGTGCTTTTTTGAAGCCTTTCCAGCTTGACAGTAGGACAAGACAGGACGGCGGACAGGGATGCTGCGAGTTACCAAGTTTCCGCAAGCTGGAAAGGCCCCAATAAGGCATGTCCGAGGTGGTGTAATTGCACGAGTCGGGGCAGTCGTCGCCGAATATCCTTTACAAACTCAGGCGAAGGGTAGCCAAAACATCAGAGGCCGTAAAAGTGTTTTGCTGGTTTTCAGTTTTGTCTATGGCAAGGGAAGGAAAGAAGATGCCGAAGCTTGTCGAGGTAGTTTTTTTTTCCTTCTGGACGCAATCCCTCTCTAGCAACCGATTTACAAAACTTCGCAAAGTTCATTTCAAAGAACATGACTGCTCGTCAACGTATGGAGAAGCAAAACGTGCAAGATAAGCCAAGGATCTTACCGAAGATGTGTCTGCCAAGAATGGATTGTTTATCTACGCGAGCCCTAACGCACTTCATTATCCCTAGACTTTTTCGCACTCGAAAACCGAAGCTCCGCACATCATTACGCTTTTCGTGAAGGCAATGGCTTGAAAAAATTGCGACTGTGAGTTTTTCACACCTCCTGGCTTTCTGCGCTCTATCCAGTGCTTTGCTAAGAAACTAAAAAAAGTGCTTTTTACGGCGATTTCCTACCCTGGAGACAGCTGGAGACGATGTATACATACGAGGTTCTTATTGGTAATCGTAATGCGTCTGTAAGAAGAGAAGGAATGCGACCCGATCATGTGGGTCAAAAATGCTTTGGATCGAGAAAACAACAAAAGGCAGGCTATATGATTTTGCAAAGTCGAATCAGTTTTATATAACAAACTCTTTTTTTTTTCAAAAAGCCTGATAAGACGATGGACCTGGCACTCTCCTCATGGATATATCAAACAGAGATACTCTAGGTAGTGGGCATACCTCACACGATTTCAACTTTCTAAACCATTTCGGGAAACATAAATAGATTTAATTAGGGAAAGCATTTTGTGCATGTCATAGCTTACATTCTACTGTACATAATACCAGGAGATAGGGCAGCGTATTTGAAGGCAGATTATGTAAAAAGTTGCAAAAATTATTGTCGGTATCCAACCCAATAATTCCTCTCAAGCAGCTGAAGCGCTTCTTCTGAACTCAGTCTATGGTAGATATGGCTTTTGTTGGGTCATGAAAGGGTTGGACATAAACGCGGATTAACTTAGACACTGTCAAATTTCATTCAAATTAGCTAGTGTTGCCAGACGACACCAGAGCATAGAGATCATCTTCAAGGTAGAAGAGAACTCGGGATGCGTTGCAGCACAAACATGCGCAAGACTCTTCAGCTCGCTTATTACAAACAGAGAGAGAGGTACAATAGAAATATAATAGAAAGTAGCTGTTTTGACCATGCTCAGACCAAGTATTTGTTTTGCATGAGCGTGACTACATAGAAATAGAAACTGAAATAGATTAGAAGCGTAGGAGTAGCAACCTGAGCCCTTGCGACGTGTTCGGTAGCTGCCACCGTACCGTTCATATCAGAAGCAAGACCATAGCGCACAAAGTCTGTTCTCCGTATGTGTACGCACATGATATCACTCAAATTTCCTCTGAAAACGAACAAGCTGGACTGAAGCAGGTTAAGCCTATACAATTGAGCCGTTTTGTATCTTAATATTTGCGATTGCACACTCCATCCATACTACGCGTACTATCCCGGATGTCGCTGACCAAAAGAACGGGTTAGGTGGTCAATCTGGTTCTTTCTGATATTTCGTTTATCTCGTGTAGCAACGGAGCATTCAGTAACAGTAATCTTGAACTCGTATGTGCGGCCAACGCATCCAGAATGTGTACGCTCAGTTTCAAGTTTGTGTGCATTAACGCACATTGAAGGCAGCTTACCAGCAAGGCTCAAGGTTGTGGTCTTTCAATGCACTGTCTCAGATAATCGCCGGGTGCAGGCGGTCCGCAAACTCGCGCTTTTCTGCAAGCGGTCAGCAGAATTTTGGGGCGTGGCCAAACCTTCAGCGAGCGGTATCCTTTACTGTCTAATGTTCTGCCAGCGAGCAGCAACACAGAATTTTCTGCAGGAGCTCTTAAATAATCTCTTTCAGCACACGCTGTCTGAACTTTCAGCAGGCGCTCGGACTGTTTTCACGCTGTTCCGGGCTTATGTCGAACACAGTAAGACTCTGTGTGGCAGAAGTGTCACCGTTGGTTCAATTACTCAAGTTTAAGGTACTTTCTCTCAGCGGAAAGCACCTGAGGGCAGCGCGGTCCTCCACAAAGTACCGTGCTGCCCCTGAAAGTTGCGTGTGCGGGTGCGTGCGGCCACTGCGCCGCAGCTTATCTATAAAGAAGCCGCGATTGTTCTCCAAGCATTCGTCTAAAATTTCGTTAAAATTCTTCCCAATATCTGCAAGCGGAACGCAAGAAATCAGCGAAATGTTTTTTCCGGTGCCCGCATAAATCGCATGGCCGCCTGCCCCCGGCGATTATCTGAGGTGAAAGCGGACGCCATCGGGCACCCTAAGCACAGGTGCGAGTGATAATGTTTAGAAAGTTGCGAGAAATTTGCTTAGGTAGGGAGAGATTTGCTCTGCGGAAAAAGCCGTGATCCTATGCGTATTTCCTGCTCTACGGCAGAGTGCGCATGTTGCCACATGGGGTCACGCCTTTCTTCGTAGGACAAACCTCAACCTATCAACTTTCCCGCAACTTTTTCAATACAATTACAATCATAAGATCCCAAAGCGATTATGCGTCTCAGCACTAGCGGGAGTTGTTTCGCTCATCTAGAAAGGAACGCATCAAAAAAGAATGTCCTAGCCGTCTTCGCGCAATGCGAAGTAGACTGATTGAGCGCGCGGATAAGCCCAGGTAAGCAAAGAAGCTCGAAATTGAGTTTTTACCCGAACGCTGCCTTTGAGAAACTAACGACTAAACTGTATAATAACATGTTTTACAGTGGATATAATGCAAGAGTTGAAAATCATGGTAACTTTTCTAAAAAGATTACAGTTCAGAAAAGGAAGTGTCACATTACAAATTCTGAAACCTCACATCTGCAGAGCACGCAAGTCAGCTTCTCCTATTTGTTTCGCAGCATCGGAAAACTGGAATAACTCCTTTAGTTCCCCTAAGTAGTCTTCTAAATAACGTGCATTCTGAGCGTATCTCAGACTTAGCCGAATGTATTTTGCAGGTTGATCAATAAGCCTGGAATGCTGTGATATGATGTAGCTGAGTGATCGTTGTATTCAAGAATTCAAACCATTTGATTATTCTGTCAGACATCATGCTTATAATAAAGCGCGTGTCTGTCTGTTGGTCTGTGTGTGCTTTTGTCTGTCTATCACAATTCGTAGAGCGTGCTGTAGGCGAGGTCTTAGGCTGAAATTTCGGTTGTAGTACCCTATCTGCATGTAGGTAAATAATGCAAAAAAAATTGCAATGCACCGAAATTTCAGCCTAAGACCTTGCCTACACACCAAAAGCACAAGCGGTTCGATAATTGGAAACTTTGGAACTGCGCGTCAAACGCGTCCATGCGACTTTGGCCGACCAATGTGAGTCGGAGATTGTACTTTTTGCGAAGTTGTGGATTTGCTTAACAAGTAAGTGAGCAGATCATAGACTCAAGTCCAACAAGTGAGCAAATATCTGTTTTACGCAAAGTCAGCGCCAAAAAGGAGTACCCTATTTTCCGGCGTATAAGCCGCAATTATTTTCGCCGCGCGCAAGCTGATCTGCGATGGTGGTCGCGATATGCGAAGCCGCGCAAGCAGCCAACCACCACCTATTTTACCTAGTAGCCTGATTGTAACCTTTTGCTTTCGCTCTTTCTTGTGAAAGCATTGGAGGCACCATTAAAACATCAACATCATCATCAACAATCATTAGCAGCTTTAACCTCAATAACATCTTCAAAGACAAAAGAAAGCGCCGTCAACTCCATTGTATCCTTGAGGAAAAAACACAACCAAAAATTCCAAAATCGTACGAATATCTGGAAAGAATAAAGAAATACCAGACGTGAAGATGCGCAATGAAAAGTAGTCACAAAATGCAGCGAGTTTTCAGTTTGTAAAACCAAAAACTTTATTTTCAAAGGCTCTTTCGCGCCATTGTTCGCTGCGGCGGGTGCGGCTTATATAAGGTGCGGCTTATAAACCGGAAAATAGGGTAATTGCGTAGATCATCAATTTGTCGGGTGGCGGACTTTATGAATGATAGCGCGCGCTTAGGCAGGCGTGTGTCAATAAGGTGCACACCGTTAGCCCCGCCTATCGCAAGATGGACGAGTTCTTCGTAGTGCAGCTCTAGCACTGGTTCACGGCCATGTTCCCTAGTCAAGTGAAAGCAATTTCTGATAGTGAACTATAAGCTTGTTGCAAGCTGAGGTGAAGCTTGACTATTTACAGAATTTTGTTTTGCTTTCTTGCTTCCTTTTTTGCCAGTCATGAACAGCTAATGTGTTGAACGTGAAATACAAGAGATTTGCTGATTTACTAT